CCTGCGGCTCTTTATGGAAGCAGGCTGGCTTTTCCCTCCCTCCCGCCCATGCCAGGATCCACCCCCACGCAGAAGAGGCTGGCCCTCAGCCCTCACCTTGCTGAATCTTTGCTGCAGCACTTCATGCTCCCACTGGAGATCCTTCAGGTCTTTCTCTGTGACCTTCAGCCGGGCCCGAATACTCTGGGGGGGCAGGGGGGAAAGGGGGCTTAGAAGAACTCTCAGACCTTTGCGGGTTGTGGGAATGAAGACCACGCAAAAGGAGGGTAAGAACGCAAAGGGGGCCTCCGGGGCTCTTTTACACCCCTCAACTGTCATCCTGTGAATAGCAACGTCTGCTGGGCCATGCCGCTGAAGAGCCCCAACTCTGAAGAGCTCAAGGGGCCGATCGACTGCTCACAGCCCAGGAGCTGCATTCAGGTGGTCTGCAGGAAAACAGCAGCAGCAGCAGCAGCAGGAGGAGGAAGCAGCCCCCCTTCCTTTGTTTCTCCCTAAGACACTTTCAAGAGGGCCCACAGCAGCTCCGGTTGCTGGCATGATTAGGTCCCCTCGGCGACCCGCCGCCCTACGAGCTGCCTGGATGCCTGTCCCAAGGCCAAGGGCCCTGCACTTACTGCCAATATGGCCTTGTCTTTCTCGTAGTGCGCCAGCTTCCGCTGCAGCTCGGAGACCTCCTCCCGGGCTCGCTGCAGCGGATCCGCCAACCTCTTGTTCTGCAACAGCACTTCCGCCATTTCCTTCTCCAGGTGATCCTCTTTCTTCTTCATCTCCTCCATCTGCTCCTGTGTTCCAGGGGGTTGGAGGAGGGGGAGCATCTCAGACCTTCAAGGCCAGCGGCTGCTGCTTCCCCTCCAATGGCTCCTGCTCCATTCAGATCCCACACGAACACACAAAGACCGTGATAGGACAACACGAAGTTCTTGCATGTTCTTTGGTCCATTTCCCAATGGAGCCCTACTGTGGATTTTTATTTTTTCTTCTTGAACCAATACTTACTTTTATTTTTCACACAACTGATACCCAATAAACTTCTAAAAACAGTTCCAAACATAGGATCACCTGCCCCATGCCAATAAAGGAATGCAAAGCTTCCAATTACAGCAGGGGCTGGCCCACCAAGGGGCCATCCCCTGTGAATCCTCTAGTCAGAGCAGCCAAGCCATGCCCACACGGGGGTCCAGGGGCTCCGCCGATGTCAGCAGAGAAGGCTGCTCTGCCGTTTACCTTGAGGGTATTGATCAAGGCCAAGTTGTTGAGGGTGACATCATTGTAGTAGTTCTTGATGTCGCTGAAGGCCTTCTCGTGATTCTTCATCAGCGTGTTGATCTGGCCGTTTTTCCTCTCCTCGATCTCGTGGATTTCCGTCTTCCTGCGCAGGTCAAGCTCGTCACGCAGCACCCGCATCTTCTTCTCGTACTTAGCCTCAATCTCTGCAGAAGCACCACCAACCAGGCTGGGCTGAAGGCTCCACTGTCATCCTGTCTATCCTCAGCTGATGGCTGCAGAGGAAAGGGGGCAGGTGCCCCCTGAGCCTGGAGATCCCCAAAGGCCCTGGACAACCTCACCCCCCCATAAAGCAGCATGCGGTCTCTGTAACTTTCCTGCACGCAAGTCCCTTGCAGACTGCTGCGGGTGAGGGGCCCCTGCTTTCTGGCTTTGGAGACGCAGGAGAAAGCCAGACTCTGCAGCCGCAAGCATTCCCGCTGCCTGCTAGGAAGCAGCGCTTACGGACTTCTAGGCTTGCCTGAGAGACCAAGCCACGGCCCTGCCGAGTCCCGAGACTGACCTTTCACTTGCCTCTCAAAGTCGTTCCGCAGGTGTGTCAGGTCTTCCTGCTGTTTCTGTTAAGACAGCAGTGCTGCTGCTCAGCTGAGGCGAAGCTGGCTTGCTTGGTGGGGGGGGGGGGGGGGTGGGGGCTTTGGGCCAAGCAGGTCTTACCAGGCGGAGGTTCTTCACCACCATCTCGTTGGCCAGCTCCTGCTCCTTCAGCTCCACCTTCAGGGTGCGCATGTCTTTGCGCAGCTCCGTCTCCTGAGACCGGTGGTCCTTCTGCGCCAGCTTCATGGCCACCGTGCCCTCCGCCTTCAGCTCCGTCAGGTTGTTCTGGTGCTCGTAGAGCAGGTGCTTCACCTTCTGCTTGTACACCTGGGGGGAGGAGCAGCGGGAACGTTCGGGGGACAGGAACCCCGCAGGGAAGGCCCAGGTTTGGGGGGGAGGGCGACCCCGACCTTGATCTCCACTTGGTGCCGCTCCTCCGCCTCCTCCATCTCCCGGTCCTTGTTGCGCAGCTCGGCCTTCTTCTCGTCCAGCTGCCGCCGGGTGATTTCCCAGAAGGTGTGGATCTTGTCGCGCTCCAGCTGGAAGTAGTTGCGCTCCTCCCGCTCGCGGTCCAGCTCCTCCCGGATGCGGCCCATGTGCTCCTCCAGCTGCAAGAGGCCCGGCAGGCTCAGCCCAGCAGGGACCCCGGCCGCGCCGGCCCCCGCGGGAAGACCCCCAGCCCGGCCCCGGCGGCCCCACCTGCTCCTTGGACATGCCGTCGGGGGGCAGCGCGTCCACCACCGCCGGCCCTTTGGCGCCTTTGCCCTTCTTGCCGCCGCCGCCGCCGCCGCCGCCGCCCTTCTTCTCCGCCTTCTTCTTGGGCGCCTACGGGAGGGGCGAGGAGAGCCGCGGTGGGTCCCCCTGCACGGCGGCAGCCCCCCGCCCGGAGCCCCGCGGCCCGGCATCCCGCCGCAGTCCCCGGCCGAGGCGCCCCGCCGGCGGAGCCAGCCTCACCATGACGCCGCGGGAGAGAGACGCTCGGCCGCCGCGTCTCCAGGCAACCGGCCTCCAAGTCTCGCGAGAGGGGCGGGCCGCGCAGCCGCCCCTGACGACCGCCCTGGCGACGGGGCGGGGCCGCCGTCGCTGGCGGGCTGGGAGGGGGCGGAGGCGGAGGCCGGCGGGAGGGGCGTTGGGCGCAGGGGAAGCGGCCGCCACTGCGCTTGACCAGAAGAGGGCGCGCCTGCGCATGGACAGAGGGCCACCCGGTCTGCAACGCCGGCGCCCCCTCTGCCCGGAGCCCCGGGCCACCCGGCTGCGGAACGGCCAAGCCTCGGGGGCCCCTGTGAGCAGCGGCGGCGGCTCCTGCGCGGGGCAGGCGAGAGGCGCCGGGTGTCTCCGGAGCCTGGACTCAGTCACGGGCCGCTGCAGCGCAGCCGCGGGGATCGCCGGGGAAACCGGGCCAGGCTGGCTCCCCGGGCGGCCTCCCGAAGGCCCGCCCGCGGCCCCTGCAGAGCACCCGGCGGGTCCGTCCACCGAGGGGAAGGCGGGCGCCAGGCCCGGCCAAGCAACCTCGCCCTCCAGGACCGGCTCCGGCCGTTTCGCTGCCTGCCGGAGGCCGGGCGAGCATCCCGCCCCTCCGCCCGCAGGTGACAGCCTGAAGCGAGGCGCTTCGCTTGTGCTCAGAGCGCCCTCCCGAGGCGGTTCTGCTCGGCTCCGATGCCCGCCTCGCCACGGGCCGCTGAAGCCACTGGCCCCGCCCGGCGCCTCCTCCCCTTGCCCTGCGCTGCTCGGCGGCCCCCTGCCTCCTCCGGGCTCTGATGCAGCGGCGGCGGCGGCGGCTGGACGCGCTCGGCCCCCCCACCCTGCGCCCTCCCCCGCGCCGGGCCCGCTCCTCCCCGCCGGCGATGTGCGCTCGGGCGGCGGCTGCTGCTGCTGCTGCAGTGGTCGCGGCGGCGCGGAGGGAGGCGGCAGCGGCGCAGCGGGCATCTGGTGCAGCCGGGACGGATGGAGACGGCAGGAGGGGCCGCCCCCCCGGGTGAGTGACTCGGTCGGCGCGGCAGGCGAGGCGCTCCGGGATGCGGCTGGCGGCGCGGAGGAGCAGCTGGTGGCCAGCGAGGTGGGGAGGCCTGGCGGGGCCGGGCGCTTGCGGGGTTGCCCGTGTGGTGGCCCAAAGGCTTTCTGCTCTCGGGGAAGGAGCCGTGAGCGGGAAGGACGGAGCGGGCCCGACCAGAAAAGCGGCCTTCTCTCCAGAAAGGCGCCGCCTGTCAACTTTGCTCGCCCCTTCCCACTTTTCCCCTCGCAGGGCTGGAGCGCTGACAGCTAAGCGGCTCCGGCAAATAAGTCTCCCCCCGCCCCGCCTCGCCTCCCCGTCGCTCTGCCGTCTTGAGGCGCTGGGGACGCGGCGGAGCTCAGGGCCCCGCTTAAGCCGAAAGGGAAGCGAGTTGCCCGAGGGACGGCAGGCAAGGCAAGCCGCGGCCTCCTGTGAGTGGCCTGGAGGACGCAGTGGGGTGTGACTGGAATGCTCTCCGACTCCTGTGGCTAAGAAGCACGTGTGAATGCGCGCGAGGAAGAAAGCGGGCCTTTGGGGTCGGTACTGCTACCACTCATCAAAGCTGCCGGAGCTTTGGGTGGGTTCAGCCTCGGTTTCAAGAGCTTCATGTCCGGCTGCCCTGACCCAGGCGGGCCGCTTCTTTTTTACCATTCTGGGAACTTCCAAATTCCAGCGCGGGCAGGGAGTGACTTGACGGGGTGGAAGAGCTCCCGGAGTTTCTGCATCGGAGCCATCATGTACAAGATCCCTCCCCAGACTTCGGTGCCCGCTCCCCCCATTGATGGTTGTGGGGAAGGGCTGCCCGTTTGGGGTGGTCTGCAGCTCAGCGGGTCCGCCCCCCCCCCCCCCGCTTCCCTGGCTGTGCTAACCTGCAGCCGCGAGCCAGGCTGGGCTCGGGTCCTGTAACGTGAGTCAGCAGCAGCGGTGAGAGTGGTGCGCCCGACGACTCTTCCGAGCCCCCTTTCGACCGCAGGGCGGCTGCCGGACCAGAGCAAGGCGGGGAGGGTGGGAACCCAGTGGAGGGGGAAGGCAGCCAGCAGCCACCGCCGGGCGGAGTGAAAGGAACAGCCTGCTCTGCGTCTGGGGAGGGGGGCTGCTGGAGGCAGGTGGAAGCTTAAAGGGGACCCGAGAGGATTGGAAAGGGCTTCTGGCAAGCAGCTCTCCAGCCAGAGAAGCTCTCCCACCCAGGTCTGGACTGCATCCTTTGGGGGCTCCGGTCGGTGGCAGCAGCTGCGGCTTCTCCGGGCCACAGAGCTGACCTTTCTGCTTTCCATTCTGCACATCCCCCCCCCCCCCATAAGAAACAGGTGAGATCAAAGAAAGTCGGTTCAGCGTCTCCTTATTCTGGGAACTCTTTCCAGCCATCCCAGTAAGAAGTGGCCCCTCTGAGCAGAGGGTTGCTCCTTTAGGATGGGAAGCAAGGGTGGCTGGCTCTTCCTGCAGGCTTAACTGCTTGCTGAAGGCAGAGACACTCTGGCTAGAAAAGGGAGCCGGGCAAGCGTGAAAATGGATCAGTGGAATTAGAGAAAAGCCCCAGCCAGAGATTCAGAACAGAAAAACAAAATTAATCCACAAGGAGGAATCTGGCAGTCCAGTCCTTGAGGGGAGCCAGTTGGAACAAGAGCTGTGATCCATTAGGGGGCCAGTTGGAATGAGGACCCAGCCCTCTCTGCTGGAACGGGCAAAGAAGGGGGCTTGGCCTGCTGGAGATGGCAGGGCTTGAGCTGCCTCCTCTGCCCCACAGGACCCCTGAGCCCAGCTCCATCCCTCCCCAAAGGCAGTATGTTGCCCCCAGAGTGCCCAAGAGATGGGTGTGATCCCCACTGGAAGAGCTGAGCAGAATGTGGGCTTACCAGAGGGGGATTCCCCAACCCTCTGCGGGTACAGCCTTCCTGTGCAAGGGAAGATATAGTGGATAAGGAGGCTGGGAATCAACATTATTCACACATAATATGGATGTAAAATAGAAAGGGAGAGGAGGAAAGGAAAAGAGAGGAGAGGGAAGTAGAGAGGGGAGAGGAGAAGGAGAGAGGGAAGGAGAGGGGAGTAGAGGGGAAGAGAGGGAAAGGAAAGAGAGACGGAGAAGGAAAGAGGCGGAAAGAGATGGATTGTTGATGTATAATTGAAAATATGATGTATTATAAAGGAAAATGCATAATAAAAATATTATTTAAAAAAAGCAAGAAGTCCTGTGCATGAAATGCAGAACAGGAATAGCCACACCAGCATGGCAGACTGTGCTGGGTGGGAGGGAGGGAGGGAGGGAGGGAGGATGGGCGGCAGCCATATGCTCTGCCTGAATGTGTCTGGCCAAATGCTGGAGGTGGATGAGCGGAGAGGCAGCCCTGGGAAAGGAGGGCACTTACGGGGGCCCTCTGGCCAGCCACACCTCAGGGCTGCTGCTGAAAGCACTCCTTTCCATGGCGGGTGGGGGGGGTGGACACACGACTTATGGGAAGGGGCTTCTGGCCGACCTCTGAGACCCTCTGGGGCTCTTCCCAGAAGCAGCCAGGTGGACGACAGGCTCTCAACCCCGCAAGCAGGAAGGCCAGACGAAGAGCCCCTTCCGTAAGGGGGGTGCTTCCAAGTTCAACTCTCTTCGCCTGCTGGCCTCAGCCTACTGAGAGCTGGAAGTGTCCTGTTATATTCACGCCTCCTTTGCCATTTTCCCACACTCAGCTTGTTAAAAACCTGGCCATGAATAATTCAGGGCTTTGAGGGCTGAATGCTGTTTTTCTCCCTTCAGCTGGGCTCCCCACTCCCCATATATAAAGCTGCGATGTTCCCCAGGAATCTGGAGTTAGCATCCTCTCCTTTGCCAGCACCCAGCTAGGCCTAGAGGCCAAGTCAGGCTGTGGGTTGCAAGAGCTGGTTGTCTCCTGTGCTGCTATAAAAGGCGAGGAGCGGCAGGGAGGTTTTGGCCGGGGCCTGTGGCTCCACTCAGGCTCCATATTTGAATTCTCCCCCTGAACATGTTTCCGCAGGTGTTCAGCCCGGCCTCCTGTGATCTGGGCCCCTTCAGGTGCCGGGATTCCTTCCTTGTCCTCAGCCACAGGAGGGTGAGAGGGGAAACCCAAGGCCAGCCCACCTCTGGTGCCCGTCCTCTTGGCTGACCCCCTTCTAGGGCGCAGCTGCCCTCAAACGGGCCCCCCAGACCTTCTGGGGAACAATAGATCCAGGCAATTTGGGGGGACAGTCTCAGGCTTCTGCAGGAAAACTAATGGGGCACCCGGGCCAGGAGCAGCCGTGGGGTCCTGCAGAGAGAGGGGCAGGCTGTGGGTCAGAACTTCCGCTGGGGGCGCATGCTTGTGCAGGCAACCCCACCCCTTCACATTCAGACATGAGCAGGCGCTGCTCCCGGCACCCATTTTCTGCTTCCCCCTTGATGCTGCCCCTCCCCCTCCCTGAGAGCTGGCAAGAGTGGTGGAAAAGGGCAACCTGGCTCACCCGCCTGGCAGGCACCAGGGAAGAGGGTGCCCAAAGAGAGCCAGGCTTGCAGAGACCTTCCTTCTCTGAGACGCATGAACCACGGCCCCCTGGCTAAGTTTCTTCCCTCCTGCCCCACGGCTGGCTCACCGGAGCAGGCCCTGCTGGAAATTCAAGGGCAGGCAAGGCGGCTGCTGAGAGGCCCCCCCCCCCGCCCCCCGGGCAGTCAGCTTGCTGCAGCGTTCCCAGGCGCCTCCAGGGGGGAGAGCCTGCCCCCCCCCCGCAGAGAGGCAGAGGGTAACTGAGGCATGCCTGGCACACAGCCAGCTCTGCGGGCCCCATTTGCCTCTCCCCACCCCCCAGGACAGATCAGCCTTTGTCCTCTTGCCACCTGCTCCAAAAGAAGGCGGCCTTCTGTCTCTGCAGGCGCGAGGCTGGGTGCCCGAGCGGAGTCTTGGTTCCTGGTACCCAACAGCTGCTGCTCATCAGCTCTGCACACGCCGTCTGGACTGGAGGGGTCTCTCTGAGGTGGGGGCTGTGGCTGCACACGCAGCCAGCAGGCAGGAACCGCCCAACAGAACAGTGGGAGGGCAGCCCCTCGGCAACCCACGCCCATCAGGAAGGCCCTGATGAGGCCGGGGAGGGGAGGGGCCTTTCCCCCAAAGGAGACCCCAGGAGCCCCCTCCCGGTGGGCCCCCTAGAGAGGCAAGAGGCCAAGGCTGAAACCGGCAAAGTCTCATCCTTCCTTGGTGAACGAGGAGGCAGCCGCGAGGCTGAGCAGGCCGGGCCTCTCTGTCCTCATGCCCCGTTTTGTCATTTCAGAGCTGACCCAGGAAGCCCCCAAACTGGAGGGGCAGACCCCCATCACCCTCTCCATGCATGGGCTGGCAGAAGAGCCCCAAAGCTGTCCGGTGGAGGAGGAAGGAGGGACCCCAATCCCCACCTCAGGGCTGCTGCAGGTTGCCGAGCGCCGGCGTAAGTAGAGGGCTAGCCGTGGGGGGAGGGAGGCTCCCAAAAGGGAAGCTCCAGAGAAAGGTCTTGAGCTCCCCCCCCCATCTCTTCTCAGAACCCCTGAGCAGCGTTTCGTCTCTCGAGGTGCATTTCGACCTGCTGGACCTCACGGAGCTGACAGACATGTCTGACCAAGAGCTGGCAGAGGTCTTTGCCGATTCCGATGAGGAGAATGTAGCCAGAGAACCCACTGCTGGTAAGTCGCCCCTCCCACTCTGTGTGTGTGTGCGTGTGTGTTTTGATTAGGAGGCATTCAGTGACAAGCACATCCTCTGCTGTGAGTGACAGCTGAGGCTCTGCTGGCACCGAGGTTTCCGTGCTTGCTTTGGGGGGCTGCCCCCTGCTGCCTTTGGCTCTGCCTGACCCACTTGATCCTCCAGGGATCAAAGGGGGAAACTGGAAGGACTCTTTCCTTCGACCACTGACAAGGGGCCCCACATACCACTGAATGCAGCTGGGGGGGAGCTAAGCAGGGCCTCTGAAAGATGGCAACCAATGCAATTCTCCTCAGTTTAGGCAGCTGGGTGAGCCCCATGATCTGGAGCAGAGGTCGCCAACCTTTTGGACCTCAGGGACCACCAAACTCGTAATTTTAGATCCCAGGGACCACTAACCGGTTCTGTGGGCCTGGCCTAATTTGTGGGTGTGGCTTGTGGTCATGTGACTGGCTGGGCATGGCGTGTATGTAAATATAAGTATTTATATAAATATTGAATTTTTTATTAAAAAGAGCAACTTTTACCCAAAATCAGGCAAAGCAGGCAGATTTGAGTTGCTCACAGAATCACAGATTCATTTAGAAATCTATCTATCTGCCATTGGCTAGCTCAGTCTGTCGCATAAAATTTGCTTGCAAGCAAACTCATAAAATTAACTCACAACACACCATGCATGTAAATATTGAATTTTTTTATTAAAAAGAGCAACTTTTACCCAAAATCAGGCAAAGCAGGCTGATTGAGTTGCTCACAGAATCATTCAGTGATTTATCTGCCATCGGCTAGCTCAGTCTCTCAAATTTGCTTGCCGTGAGTCTGCACTGAATTTGCTTGCAAGCAAACCTTCAGTCCTAAGGGAGGTTCGGCTGTGCTGAGCCGAAGATCTAAAGACTGGCTAGAAAGCAAGAAATTCAACCATTTCCTGCTTCCTAGCTAATCTAAATCTCCCGGCACAGCAGAACAGATGATGGTCGGAAAAAGGAAAAATAGCAATTTAGCAGGCATGTTTGCCAGGTAAGGAGTGAGAGGGCAGGGAGGGTTCCTGCGGGCCATGTGGGCAGTGCAGCCTTGTGTTTTTGTGCAGCTTGGATTAATTGCTTTGTGGGGGTGCTCTGGGGGTGAGATTTCTCTGCGGCCCACCAAAATTTTCTCATGGCCCACCAGTGGGCCACGGCCACGGCTCATCTGGAGCACCCTCCCCTGTCCAGGTGGGCATAATCCAACAGGCTCCACACACTTCGGTTGGATGCTGGCTCAGAGAGGCCACCTGGCCATGGGGTGGTAGCAAGGTGTGCATGGCAGCCAGTGCTGCATGAAACCTGCTTAATCCAGCGTGCACAGCTATGCGCACATTGTGTCTCTTACACAGACACAGCCAGGCACGCAAGTTGCATCGTTAACTCCAGCTTGCCAAGGGGGCCCCTGATTCAGGCCACAAGAGACCAAGGAACAACTGGACTGGGCCAGGGCCAGCAGGCGGGAGCTCAGCAGCTGCCTCGATGGCCCTGCGCCCCACCTTACTGTCTCTTCTGCCACCTCCCCCAAGGCAGTGCAATGTGCTGCTGATGCTGCAGCTAATATGCTGGGGGGGGGGGGGGGGGGGGGGGGGGGGGGTGGCAGCTGCTGCCGCCACTTCCCAGGGCCAGAGATGGGAGTCTCCCTCCCTTGAGGTGGGAAGAGGCCAAGCAGTAAGGAAGAGCTCCCTAGTTGGAATCAGCCAGCAAGGGAGGGAGGATGGAGAAGCTTGAGGGGGGGGGGGAGGAGCTTCCTGTGGAGAAGACACTCAGAAATGCGGTGAGCACAAAAGTAGAACTGGGGAGCTCTGCAGCCCCCACAGGAGCCTCTCTCTGAAGACGGGGCTGAATGGGGAGCTGGAGCTGCTGGGGTCTGGCCCACAGAGGAAAAGAGCTAAAGGGGACCCCCCCTCTCCTATTCCTGCACAGGACTGCATCCCCACTCGACCCCCAGAGCTGGCTACCTCCGCTCGCCCTCCTGGACGAGGACAAAAGCTGAACCGGGGCATGAGAAGAAGCACCTCAGCGATCCTGAGCTCCAAGCAGACCCTTTCCTGGCTGTAGAAAAGCCAAAGGAGGAGTAGGGGGGGGGGGGGCAGGAGCCCCTCCCAGGAGCCAACCTTCACTCTTGCACTGTCATTTGGAATTCCTCCTACGGGACGTTGGCAAACTGCGCCTTGTGCCAAGAGCCCCCCCTCCTCCTTGCCCACCATTTAATTTGCCAACCTCCTTTCAGGCCCCAGCCCCCCCCCCCCCCCCCCCGGCTGGGCTGCCTATTTCCTGCAGGCACTTTGAACCTTCCATGCTCTCTTGGGTTGGAGAAGGCAGACGGAGTGACAGGTGCTCCCCCAACCTCATGGGGGTGGGGGGCTGCCGAAGCCTGAAGGACGGGGGGGGGCGCCCTCTCCAGCCGTGTGCCTTGAGTGCTGCTGGGCTGAGCCAGGGAGCTCCTCGGCCAAGACAAGCTGCCCATTATGCCAAAGGAACCGAGGGGTAGACGTGGCACCATTTCTGGGGCACTGAAACAGCGTGAATTCTGGAATTTTCTCCGCTCTGAAGCACACACATCCTGTCCAATGGCCTTAACGCTCACCCACCGCTCCTCAGCACCAACGCAGCTGGCCCAACTTCAGCCAGGCTCAGGGACCCTCCCTGGAGCCGATGCCCACCTGTGTCACAGTTTGCATTGCCAACTCAAGTCGTAATTTACTTCAACCTTTTAAGAAAACACCATACAATCTGATCTTGGCTGCTATTAAACTCCACCTGCCAGGGATCTCAGCGTTAGGAGGTGGCGACTGTCCTGGGGCCATCAGCAAGGGGCCTGGCTGGTGGACAGCGCTGCTCTGCTGCCCCCTCCCAACCTTCCCCCCCCCCCACTGTCGGACCAGTCCTTGTTCGTTCAGACGGTCCACGGTCTCTTCTTCAGCATAACAGCCCAGGAGAAGGCACCCCGAGTAAAGCAGCAGAGCCAGGCTGGCTTCCTTCTCGATGCCACAAGGGACAGGCGGCCATCCGAAGCTGCCAGACAAGAGACGTCCTCGGTGTGGGCAGCCAAGGTGTCTGCAAGGCTTGCTGTCCAGGGCCAAGAAAGGGGAGAGGCTCACGGTTACTTGGGCTTGGCGGGACCCACCTGGCTCACATCTCCCGAGGCCACCTGTGTTATTTCCAACATGGAGACAAAATCCCAGGAAGTCTGCTCAGACTTGTTCGGGGGTGGGGGGGTGTTCCAAACCAGAAAAATAAAATTCTCCCTGGCTGCTAGCAAGAGTGGCCTTCAGCTCTCCACCTCCGTCAGGACTACCCAGAGGGACTGAAGCGAACTTTTTCAATGCCAACGCCACAAGGGGGGTGGGGCGGTGCCCCCCCCAGGAATGATTTTATGTGGACTCCTGATAGGCATCCAGGCAGGGATCCCCCTGGCACAAAAGGGCCAAGCTGCTCCTTTTGTGAGGGGCAACAGGAGATCCCGAGCCCCCATTCCCTGCTTGCTCTCCGGCCTCTGGGCACAGCTGCTGGAGAGAGGCTGATCTGCGGAGGGACGGCCAAGGTCTGATCAGCAGCCCTTGAAGCCCCATGGCCCAGAAGGGCATCCTGTGTGAAGGCCCCCCCCCCTCGAGGAGCAGCACAACACGCCCCTCCCCCTCCGGGTTGGCCTTGCAGGCTCTGCTGAATCCTGGCCACATCCTGCGCTGGGGCTGGGCACCCGTCTTCTCGACATTCCAGGCTGCATGTTGGGGTCAAGCCCAGAGGTTATCCGTTGTTGGCTTTTCCTCAACCAGGCAGCGTTGGCATCCTGTGGGGCAATGCAGTGAGCCCCTTACAAGATGATACGGCTACCCTCTCCCGATTGCGTACAGCTGTGCCATGGAAGACAGATTTGATGTTGGTCTGATGGTAGGGCGCCAAGGAAGCAAGCCCAAGCGCACAAGGGGTGCCTATTTGCATCCTAAGCACCGAGGAGCACTTTCTTGTGTCCCAGCATCAAGGAAACACTGGCTAACCTCCCAGGAGAACGCAAGACCTTCACAACTCCTGCTTTTTGCAAAGCAAGGTCCACCTGGGATCTCCACAATACTCCACCCAACCAGTCTGGTGTCCTCAGAACTTGGAACCTCCGTCTTTTTTGTGTTCCTTCTGTGCTCTGCATTCCTATTTTAACCCTCCCCTCCCATCTTTGGATTAAATTCTGTCTGTACTTGTACAGCGCCCCTCTGCTACCTCCAATGTTCTGGTGATTAAAGTTGTTGCAAATGGTCTCTGTAGGGTTTCTGCTCCTCCCGATTCTTTTCAGGCAGTGGGTCAGTGCGTACACCAAGAAAGCCATAGCAGGGAAGCAATTTCTGCTACTGATCAATGCGACCTCTGCTAGTTTCTAAGTAGACAGAGCCAGGAAAATGATCCTGGTTTAAGGCAGCTGCTTTTATTCCAAGCTCGGACCCACCCAGGCATTGCAGGCAGAAAGCTTCAGGGCTGGGGAATCCCTGCATTTTCCAGGCAGACCTGGTGGGAAAACATGGCGGAGGGGGGGGTGGAAGCTTAAAGTTTGTCAGTCCGGCTAGATCACAGTCAGTTCAAGGCATGTTGAAAAGAGAACTCCCAGAGACTGGAAGGCAGAGGCAGACCTTGCCTTCTGCAGCAGGGAGGTGGGGGTGGTGATAAGGTGGCAGCAGCACAGAAAAGGCAGGGGACAAGCTGCCCCGTTTGGGCCCAAGGTACCACGTCTGCATGGGACCGGCTGAGGGGAGCCCTGCGGGGTATCTGGAGCCTGAATAGAAACGGCCAGCTATACACTGGAGTTTGGCCAGAGCAAAACCGAGGCCGCCTGGAAAGGACGCAGAGAAGCCGCAAGAAGGAAGCCAGCCGGCTGGCTGTTGCGGCCTCGGGCCCAGAGTCCTTGCGATGCCACCCGCCCCTCCACAACGTCCAGCTGCCGGGCGGGGGGGGGGAATGTCTTGCCCCCTCCCGCGTTTCAGAGAGGGGCCCCTCCGCAGGAGACCCGGGGGGAGGGAGGGAGGGACGCAGGTGGAAACCGAGGCCGCAACCCCGGCTCTCCCGGGGGGGGCACTTCAGCTTCAGGGGGGTCTTGATGGGGGACCCTCGCCCGGCCTCTCGCTCCTCATCCCACCGACCGACCCGCTCCGGCCTCCAAAGGGCCCCCGCGGCCCCCCCCCCCCCCCGCCATTCTGCCCGGCACGGCCAGCTGAGAGCATCCGCCACCCTCCCGGCTGCGGCCGGTCCTCCTGCGGGGCAACGGCCGGGACAGCAGTTCGTCCGCCGGCGGCCAAGCCGTGATATGCGGCCCGCGAGGGGACGAACCGCGCAGGCGTCGGAGCAGCCCTTCCCCGACCGAGGTTAGCCGCCTCCGTGTCACTGGAAAAGCAGCCCGGCGGGTCAGCCGAGCTCGTGGCCTTCGGTTCCCCCTCTAAATTTCCTCCCGCACTGGAGCGGCTCCAACCTGGCGCCCTTCGTGAGCGTTAGCTTTTATTTATTTCATTTTAAAAAATAAACTATTCAATTTTCCAAGTTTAAAAATGCTTTTAACCGGCTAAGCAACTGCTCCCCACCTAACTCTGCTCCCCTTTCCCTGAATTCTCCCAGCTGCTGAGAGGATGAAAGAGGATCATAGGCTTCATTCTTTTCCAGGGGCCGTTTTCCTTGGGGGTGAGGGTGCAAAATCAAGACAAGCTTGTTCCTCCACCTTTCTTCTTTTTTAGTGGAATATACGTATTGTCTCCAAGATACATTCTTTTTTTTTCCAGGAGACATCATGGACCAAGTGTCTACAAATTTCCTCTTTTCTTCTGAACCTCCCAGTGTCTCCAGGAATGTCTTCAAAACCTGGACGGCTAAATGCAGCCCTGAATCAGGATGACTTCCTATAACTTGTCAATGTCAGAACCCCAAACGATCCAAATTATGCAAGGGAAGAGGTGCTTCACACCATGACAGCCACCAGCCATGTCTTTCTTGAAGGAGTAGACCCTCAGTGAGAAGGCACACAACCAAGGATACATACAGACCAGGAGACTTCAATGGAAGATGCTGCCATCCTCCCTTCTGACTGTCAACTTGGTAACTATATGACACAAGAGTTGGGACTGTACCCAAAACTGGATTTTTTTCCAGTTAACTACTTTTAGAGGATGAAATATAAAAATATTTTTGGAGAGCAGAGAAACAACATCAAAAACTGTCTTCAACCACATCAGACTTCAATATTTATGCTTAGCTTTATTTAAAGTGATTTTAGTGCTTGTGATAAATTACTGTGGTATAAAGAGTCCCATAGTCTCTTTTCATGGCTGGCAGAGACTATTATATAATTCATCCAGTCCTGGCAATTGTCATTATCTTGGCTAAGGGGATAGGAAAAGAAGACCAAGCCTCCTTCTCTCCATCTCCAAGACAAATGCCTCCAGGTCAAAGGAACAACTTTTCAAATGCCTGCCCAGCTGCAACCATTGTCTTTGCTGAACTATCATAGTCTGTAAGGAAGCCAGAATAGCTGGACTCTGTGCCAGCCAAGCAGGGTTGATATTACCCAGTAACTGAGGAGAGGTGGCCACCATTTTCCATCAACTCCTCTGGCAGCCACTTCTCCAGCTCCGCCAGTTGCAGACAGGATGAAACTCCCTCAGGGAGAGCCTCAGACTCAGAAACTCAAGGAGAACCTCAACAACCGTCCATAGGTGGAGGGGCAGCATCCTTCTCCAGCTTGGGCATGGTATTCCCATCTCACCCTCCTCTGGCAGGCTTCTTTCCTCACCAGTCTGAGCTGCTTCCCTTCAAGAAGGACAAGGAAATCACAGGCAAGCTGGGAACTCCATGGTTTTGCTCTGGTCCCCTCCATTTCAGAGAAGCCACACTTAGGCTTGCAGCTCCATATTGTGCTCCCTGAGCAAGGACTCTTTTCTGAGACTGAGTCGAGCGCATTTGGGGCATGTTGTGGAGTTGTCGTAGAAGCAGTCCCTGGGAGAGGAAAGACAAAGGGCCTGTGAGCTTCCTTCTCCTGGAAGAGCCACCAGCCAGCTGGCTTCCACAGGCTTCTGTTGTTTGGCACTAGAAGTGGCAAGAAGCAGGTGGTTGCAAAGGCCTGCACTCACCTGTGGAAGACGGCTGAACAGTCCGTGCACATTGAGGTGTGGCTGTCAAAGGGGAAGAGTACATCTCCCTCCTTGCAGAGCTCACACACAAAGCCCTTTGCTTGGCACCGCTGTGAGAAGGAAAAAGGGAAGCTGGTGAGCCACTGTGCCAATCCAAGCCCCTCCATGGATGTGCCCTTCACACGATTACCAACCTTGTGCTACAAATACCTGCAACCTTCATATGGGCAGACATAGAAGTGGGGTGGGGGGAGAATTTTACAGTACAACGTATTTTAGAGAAAAGGAAAAAGAAAAAAATAGTAAGAGTTCAACATGACAGAGATATTTTTAAGCGTTTCTTGAAAACCAAAAACCAGCAAGGCCACAATCTTGCAAGTGTCTTTGTATGGCACCTCCTCTTCTTATGTGCCACTGGATCTGGGAGGCTCCAGCTGAGCTTCTTCTCGGTGTTACCTTACAGTTCGAGACTTAAAAACACGTTTTGAACCCTTTTGCTAGGCAAGATCTGCTGATCACCTTTCTAGACCGGCTTGTCCTTATTTCTACTCTACCCCTGCAGCACCTGGCAGCGAAGACAAGGCCCCCAAGGGCCTCCTTGCCCCTCTCTGCCAAAGCCTCTGCTTGGGCTGCTGTTCCCCAGCCAGCCAGCCTTACCTCGCAGTCCAGTTTGATGTGCTTGGCAAAGAGCGTGTGAATCTCCGTCAGGGAGCAGCTGAGCCGCCCGGCGTTGATATCCATCAGGTCTTGCAGGGAGTACATTTCATCGTTCTCCACAAAGTGCTGCCGGTCCTGCAGCTGGAGGGAGGCACAAGAGGTGGGGAGGGGGAGGGGTTCACAGCCTTGGCCAGGCGGTCTCTTCACACCCTCCCCCACCTAGGAACGTAAAGCACCCCCACTCCAACCGCCTGCCCACCCCCTGCTCTGAAGAGGTGCGTCGGCCCCGGCCGGACAGCCGCCTTCTCTGACCTGGAGCAGCAGCCGGGCTTCCATGGCCTCCTTGCAGGTGATGAAGTAGGGCTTCATGAGCAGGATGTCCTGACGCAGCTTCTGAAGGGGGAGAACCCGACCGAGAAGGGGTTGCTGGACCCACGCTCGGGCTCCAGGTCAGCACACCGGGCTTTGGGCTCCACGGAGGCCTTCTAGGGCCACTTCCCGCCCTTCAAACACTCACCCGGATCTCCACCAGCTCCTCAACGTAATTGAAGAGAAGAGGGTTGGTCTCCCGCAATTTGAGGACTGGCCGGGACACCATCAGCACCAAGTAGCGCATGCTACACCGAGAGACCTGAAAATCGCATTGGCCTCCTGAAGCACAGAGTAGCCCCGACTGCAGGGAAGGCCTGCGACCAAATAGCCCCGCAGGGCATCAGAGGGATCCGCCCTGCCCCACTCCAGGATGAACAGAGAGCTCGGGGGGGGGGGGGATGTGATCTGGGCAAGGTGCTTCCTCTCTGCCTCCCCTGGATAATGGGGCCCCATAGAGACACCGCGAGGCAGGGGGTAAGCCTCCAGTCCAAGGAAGCCGTCCCATCACTCCTGCATCCAGTTAGGCAGCTCGCTTTCTCCAACCAGGTGCCCTCCAGGCCAGCAGTGTGTCCTTCAGACTGGTTCTTTTGTGGCCCACAGCCATGGCACGGGCACATTTCCTTCCCGCAACCAGGCTGTGTGGAAGGGCTCCTCAACTTCAGCTCTTTGATCCTTCCTAAAGGGAGCGACTGCTCTCCTTGCCTCCTCCAAAAGCTCCACTGACCTTGCGTGGCTCGAAGTCCCAGTTGTGGATGACCCTGGCGGGGATGACAGCTTGGTCGTTCCAGTGGCAGCTGCTGCAGTAATAGAGGCCTGTGTAGTCACACTGCCGAGCCTCCCCTGGGATCCCACCTGTGGCAGGAAGAGCAGAAGTCAGGAGAGCAGTGAGGCAGGGAGACCCAGGTCCCAGTCGCTGGGACAACGAAGGGCCATCTTCTTATGGGGTCTTCTCCCCCCCCCCCATGAGTGCCCTCCGGATGGCTGGAGCGAGAGAGGGGAGCCCAAAAGTCACATCCGCTGGCAAGACCTCAATGGCCGGAAACGGCCCTTCCCTTTTGCCTTCTGCCGCAGAAGCGCCTGGATTGAAGCGAGGCCTCCGGGCAAGGAAAGCAGGAGGAGCTGCACCCAGGGCAGCCTCCGATTCAGTCCCCGCTCCTCCCTGCTGGAGCTTACGGAGGGAGATGGGTGCCCGGCACTCGGCACAACGGTAGTCCTGGCTGTCCAGGCCCGTCTCCGGGCAAATGCTCAGCTCGTACTCGGCCTGGTGGCTGACCTTGGAGCGCACGCATGGCTTGGTGATGAGGTCCAGGCACTTGCTGTGGCAGCGATAGGAGCAGCCTGGGAGGAGGGAGGAGGAAGCAGCAGGCTGACCCGAGCCCCGAGCCCCATCCGTGGGCAGAAAGACCGGGGCTCGTCCTTGCCAGAACCAGGCTCTGTAGTGGGGGGGGGGCGGGGGGGAGGGGAAAAAACTCACCTGTGCAGGTGTACCAGGTCTGGAGCAGCCCCCAGATGATGGTGCTGCACTTGTCGCAGGTCTGCTTTACTCCCTTGCTCTTCTCCTTGTAGAAGCGATGCTCCAGGATCACCCGGATATTGGGCTCATCCTCACTGGGGTCCTGCATGGGGGGGGCAGGGGGGGTTTACAATCCTTTGCCCTCTGAGCCCAAAGCCCCCGCCCCAACCCCCGGAATGGTGGCAGGGTGCCTTCAGCTGAGGGGAGGGGAGAGGATGCCCTCCCCTCCCCTTGGAGGACTGCAAGGCCTCCCGAGAATCCAGGTGTTCCGGAAGCTCCAATGGAGCAATGGACCACCCTCTCCGGCCTGTTCCACACCTTCAGCTCCTGGAGCCGCAGCCGCAGGTGGATGAGCCGCACCACGGCATCCTTCTGCTTCTCGGAGTTCTCTGGCAGCTCCAGGATCCGCTGCTTCCACTCTTCGATGGCCTGCCGCAGCTGCTCCACGTCCGAGGCCAGGAAGAGGCCCTGCAGGAGGAGAGCCAGCGCCCAGCTTAGAGCTCCGGGCCTGCAGATGTTTCCCGTTATATCCTGCCACCCCCAAAGGCTGCCTTCTTACCACTGGGCGCGAGAAGTGGTCCTCGGCCAAGCCTAGGTCCATGGCGCGCTCTGAACAAGGGAACCCCGGCTCCTCCGGAGACAATCCCAGATTCACGTCTACATGGGGGGAGGGGGAGAAGAGCAGCCTCGCCATCAGACAAGCCCACTCTGCCTCGGACGAGGCGGAAGAACGGAAAGCCCCGCAATCTCCGTGTGCCTGGTCTGCCAGAGCCGAAGGTCACCGCTTCCTTCTTTCGGTAGCCTGAAGCCCCGCAGCCTTGGCAAAACCAGCGGCATCTACTTCTGACCGGCTCCCCCATCCCAAGGCCAGTCCCAATGGACAGAACCAATTCCAGGGCAAGAAGAGGCCACAGGGGCCATGTTGGGAAACAGCAGGGCCCGTTTCTCTACTCAGCCCGCGGCCAAGGCCTCGCCCGGCGAGCAAGCGGGAGAGCAGCCACCTGGGGCTCCGCTTCAGAAATTGAGGCTGCCACAGCAGCTTTGGGATTTTCAGGCAGAGCCGCTCTCCCATCCCAGCAGCTGGATAGGGACGGGAGCCACCCCCAAGGCTGATGTTGATGGGGAGCCCTTGGCCAGGGAAATCCTGCCCTCAGGTTCCCAAAGGGTATCGATCCAGCCTTAGGGAGAAGGACGGACAATCCTCCTAGATCCAGTCTGGATCCAGTGCTGCCGAGGCCTTCGCAGGGAGGAGGCGAGGAGGGGGACAGCTCACCTTTCTGGGGGAAGCCCTCTCCGGCCCCGGCTGTCTTCTGCTCCTGGCGACTCTGCCGCGGGGCCTGGTCAAACGGGTTGAGGTGGCCCTGCCGGAAACGGGCCAACTTCTCATCATATTCCATAGCCGTCCAACCTGCTGGAAGCCGAGGTCAGGGGGAAGAGCCTGAGCCCCCCTCAAAGCACGCCTCGCCCGGGGGTCAGGGTCCCAGCCTGCCAGAAGCTACCGGAGTGCCTCCCACACAGTTTCAACTTCAAGCTCCTCCCAGCCTCTCAAACCTTGTTGACATCCTGGGAGGCAGAAAAGCCGGTTCTGCCAGCTCAGACGGTCCCCGTGTGCTGTTCAGAGTCACGGACACATCTGGAGGGACAGCTGAGGGCACTTTATGGAGCAACACGGTTGCTGCCAGTCATGACCCAGGACTTCCAGAAAGAAACCCCGCCAGAAAACCACCAAGCGCGGAGAGTCCCAAGGACTCCACACTGCCAAATCCTCCCCCCCACATCCTGATTTACCAGGATCACTTCTGCAGCTCAGAGCTATTGGCAGTTTGGGGTACAGGGTCTCCGAATCCCAGTTTCAGGGTGCGGTGACCTTCGACTTTGGGAACTCTGGCGGCGCAAAGTCACAGCCTCCCTCCAGGCAAAGAATTCTGAGGGAGGATTTAGGCAGCTCCAGGCCGAGAGCAGCCAATAAAGGGAGGGGAGCTGAATGAGCCTGAAGCCAAGGCAGCACGAAGCCCCCCCCCCGCTTGGCATCCCTAAACAGCACAAGAGTTAGGGGAAAAGGGGGGAGGCACGGTGCTCCTGAGGCGCTCACCCCATCACTCTCTCTTGGGGGAGGGGGGCTGAGAAAGGACTCCAAGCCCACCACGCATTTCCTAATTCTCAGTGTGTGACTCTTTCGTTCTGCCTCATTTCCTCAAGGAAGTTTTAAAATGACACCATCCCTGCTTTGCTGAGCCTATCAGCTGGGTGGATCCTCTGGCAGAAACACACACACACACACACACACACACACACACTCACTCCGAAGGCCCTGCTGTTTCCACTGAGTGTCTGTGGAATAACTTTTCAGAGAAGCAAGAACCTGAGTTCCAAGAAGGCCATAAAGGAGAAGTAGAATTAAACATGGAAAAATGTTTTGCTGAAACTTGAATTTGGTATCAAATCACCACTTGGGGAGCCCTGGACTTAAACCCAGTAAAGATAACCAGGCTAAGCCTGAATCGCTCCTGAATAAATGCGGATCTTTGAGCCGTGGCTGGTGGTCTCAGGGGCCATCAGGATAAGCCAGAAGCCCACCGCTGGGTTCGCCGATCACACAAAGGCAAAGCCAAGCAGACCCTCGAAAGGCTCACCTGTTGGACCTCGGCCAGCCACAGCTCAGCGCAGGGCCAGGGGGTCTGTGCCCCGCCCCGGGAGAAGCCCCGCCTCGTCCCGGCCTGTGGACCGGGGGGGGGGGGGCAATAAGTCAGCCTCCTCCCGCTACAGCCCGAACGGCCCAAAGGGACCCCGATTCTGCTCCCCCAAAGAGGCCGCTCCCAGACCCCACGGAGGGCAGCGCAAGCAGGCAACGGGCCGGGGGGAGCCCGAGTCAAGGGGACCGAGGGGGGCTTTGCACGGCCACGGAGGGCGGGGAAGCGCCCGATGCCCGCCTGCATTTCACCGGATCGCTTCGCTCCTCGTTGCTTGCGGCGGCTTCGCCACTTGGACGGGCCCGCCGAGCCACAGGCCGCCGGGCGAAGCTGCCTCGGAGCAGCCGCCGGAGCGGAGGCAGCCGAGCGGCCAGAGCGACTGCGCCCAACCGGAGGCCGGCGGTTGTCCGGCGGGGCGCCGAGCTGGGCCCGCCCGGAGGCCGCCCGGCGCGAAGGCAGCCCTTGCCGGCCACGGGCGGGGGGACGGGCCGCCGCCGCCCGCGCCGCCTCCGTGCCCGCGCCGCCCCGCGCAGAGGGGAGGGTCGGGGCTGCCCTTACCTGCGCGCCCATGGAGGGAGGGGGAGGGCCCGGCCCGGCCCGGTCGGCTGGCCCGGACGCGCCGCTTCCTCCGCTCGCTACATTGTAGCCCGCCGCCCGCTCAGCCCAGCGCGCCCGGAGCGCCCGCGCCGCCCGATGCTGCCCCCGCGCGGCCGGAGGAGCGCGGCCGCCTCTGTGCTGCCTCTCCGGCCGTCCCGGAGGGCGACCGCCCCGCGCCCCGCCCGACGCCGGGTCTTCGCGCGGTCTCCTCTGCTTCCCCGCTCGGCTTCATCTCCGGCCGCCTTTCTGGTTATTAGAACGCCCGAGGCGGCTTCGAACAACGGGAGAAGCCGGGCGGGACTCACGAGGCGGCCGGGCGGCAGAGCCCCCCCGAAGAGCGCGCTGCCCCCGCCCTCCCCCGGCCCCCACCGGGGCCCTCAGGGCGGGCAAATCCTGGGCCCCCCCCCCCCTTGTCCACACTGTACAAACGAAGCCAGGCTTAGACAAGCTTTTGTGGTGCCGCCTTTGGGCCTGGAGCCCGAAGCAGGTGTTTAGTCTGCTTCACGGTTACTGGAAATACACGGCTGCTGCCCGCTTTGGCCGCCCTCCGGGCCCCTTCGAGAGGGTGGGCAGCAGCCCAGCGGCCTCTAATGCCTCGCTGGTGGGAGGGGCTGGGAGGGAATCCCCACCCTGGTTCCTTATCCAGGTCCCACAGCTGAAAGAGAGGCAGGGCCCCAAGGGACCCCCCACCCCCGATGAAGGGGAACCCCACCACTTTCCCTGCACCAGAGGTGCCAGGTGCCGCAATGGCCCTGAATGGCACACCAGACCCAGTAAGCCAACAATGGCTGCGCCTGAGGTGTGGATCTCGTAGCTGTGGTGTCCTGGTGGCCAAGCAGGTGGCCGCCTTTCACTCCTCCGCCAAGACTTCAGTGCTTGCTTGCCATGAGGTTGGGTCCCCCAGGGACTGACAGCCTCCTCGGCCCACCCCTGCTTAGTCTGTGGTCTGGAATGAAGGAAAAGCTCCATTTAGGCAGCCATGAGTTTGTTTTCTCAGGAAAATGTCCCAGTTAAAGCACGACCATCATCCATCCCGTTCATTTCATCACAACTGTGAGAACCATCTTCCTCCTAGGGGGGTGCAGCTCAAAGACGAAATGAGGTGGAATCGCCTTCTTGGCGGGGACTTTCCAAGCATTTCCTTGGTTCCTGGTTAATATGCATATAATATAATATGGTTCCTGGTAATTCCTGTACCCTTGAGGTGGGTACAGCTGCCTCTTTGAGAACAGGCATGAGTGGGCATTGCAAGTGCCAAGAAACAAGGGCCTCCTCTGCGCGCACACACACACACACACACACACACCCCTTTGCTATCGGTTCAAAGGCTGAGTTGGCTCATCCAGCCAGGGGAGGGAGGAGGTGTGGCAGTGTTACGGTTAGGGCTTCAGCAAGGAGTCCCTCTGATCGCTAAATGACTTTCCCTTTGTTTTCATTCAGGCCAATGATGATGGTAGTTATGACCACACAACTTAAGCCCCACCTCTTTTTTTACATATGTGCATCACTTGCAAGTGCCATCTTCACCCTTGTGACCCCACTCCAAGGAACTCATGCTGCAGTTGTGCCCCCACCCCCCACCCCAAACCAGGCCGAACCACAAGGAAAATAGCTGGACGCCATTGTTAGCGGGGTGCCTTAGGGTCCCCTGGGAAGAAGTGGGCCATCAGCTCGACCTGGCCAGAGGGACGGAGGGAGGGGCCTGCTGGGCACTTTGCCAGAGCCCCGGTGGTGCTCACTCGGAGGTGTTCTGATGCTCACTCGCCCCCTTCCTGCCTCCCTAAATTAAGGGAGGCCAGAAGGAAAGACTTGAACCCAGAAACTTGAGACTCCCACGGCCCAAGGCGGAAAGCGCCTCCGTGTTTTCTTTAAGGACAGCCCTGAGGAATAGTTCCTCTGCGGCCAGAGCAGAAGGGGCTCTTTATCCTTTCTGGGAGTGGCTCCTGTGAAGAGCTGCTGCTGGTTGGCTGCCAACCTTCCTGGGCTTAGTGGACCAGGGAAAGGCACCTCCTCCTGCCTCTGAGAGTGGAAGGGGGGAAGGGCCAGCGCAGGCGCCCAGCAAGCTCACAGGCTGCGGCCAGGGGAGGCAGAGAATGGCTTTTGGCCCCCTCCAGCTGAGCCCGGGAGGAGCTGCCTTCTCCCTGGCAGCAAACCCGAAGGAGGCTCCAAGAGGGGCTGGGAGGGGGGGGGGCACCCATGCACGCCTCTCAGCCAAGGATGCTGCCTTCTGACCCTTCTGACCCCCCCCCCCCCGCCATTGTGCTTTGGCCGGCCCAGCAGAGGCAGACTCTCATCCCTTTGCCCTTCACGCAGATCCATCTGGCCGTGGCCACCTGATTCCTCTGGCTTGACTCCAGGATCTGTCACAGCTCCACCAGCAAACCCAGGGTGGCCCTGCAGGGAATGGCCTGCAACAGTCCTGCCCCTTCTTGCTCGTGGCCACAAGGAAAGGCCTCCCAAGGGGGCACCAGAGGAATGGGCACCACATACTTCCACCTTGGCCGACTCAGCCACCCAACCTCCAAGTGGCAGAAAGCAGGCAGCTCACAAGCTGGACAGCAATAAATTTATTAAGTATTCCAAAACATAAAAACAGACACAGACCAGTAAAAAGTAAAGAACAGAATCCTTGAATTTATCAAAGTGACTAACAGAGGGATTTGCACTAACTCAAAAAAAAAAAAAAAAATGGAGATTGGGGAGCTGGAAGAAAAGATGGTCAAATACTGAATTTTTAAGTTTTGGAACGCTTGGATCAGAAGTAACTAGAAGCTGGTTGTCTAGAGCTCATCAGCTGGGAGAGCTGGCAGATGAAGGTGAGCCACGGGGTGGTGCTAAGGGCGGCTTCTTCCCGGGGAGGAGGGCGGCGTGTGGCTCCCAGCCAGGTCCTCACTTGGCACCCTGGGCTTCAGACTCTTCCTCGTCATCTTCGTACATCTCCCCTTCCTCTTCAGCAGTGGCATCCTGGTACTGCTGATACTCGGAGACCAGGTCGTTCATGTTGCTCTCGGCCTCTGTGAACTCCATCTCATCCATGCCCTCCCCTGTGTACCAGTGGAGGAAGGCTTTGCGCCGGAACATGGCCGTGAACTGCTCTGAGATGCGCTTGAAGAGCTCCTGGATGGCGGTGCTGTTGCCAATGAAGGTGGAAGACATCTTCAGGCCACGGGGCGGGATGTCACAGACGGCCACCTTGACGTTGTTGGGAATCCACTCCACAAAGTAGCTGCTGTTCTTGCTCTGGATGGCCAGCATCTGCTCGTCCACCTCCTTCATGGACATGCGTCCCCTGAAGACTGTGGCCACTGTGAGGTAGCGGCCGTGGCGGGGATCGCAGGCAGCCATCATGTTCTTGGCATCAAACATCTGTTGTGTGAGCTCAGGCACAGTTAGGGCTCGGTACTGTTGGCTCCCGCGGGCTGTCAGGGGAGCAAAGCCGGGCATGAAGAAGTGGAGGCGAGGGAAGGGAACCATGTTGACCGCCAGTTTGCGCAGATCCGCATTGAGCTGCCCTGGGAATCTCAGAGAGGTGGTCACCCCACTCATGGTGGCAGAAACCAGGTGGTTGAGGTCTCCATAAGTCGGGGTGGCCAACTTGAGGGTCCGGAAGCAGATGTCGTAGAGGGCTTCATTGTCGATACAGTAGGTCTCATCTGTGTTTTCCACCAGCTGGTGGATGGAGAGGGTGGCGTTGTAAGGCTCTACCACAGTGTCAGATACTTTGGGGGAAGGCACCACGCTGAAAGTGTTCATGATCCGGTCTGGGTATTCTTCACGGACTTTGCTAATAAGGAGGGTCCCCATGCCAGATCCTGTGCCCCCACCGAGGGAGTGAGTGAGCTGGAAGCCTTGCAGGCAGTCGCAGTTTTCACATTCCTTTCTCACCACGTCCAGGACAGAATCCACCAACTCAGCCCCTTCTGTGTAGTGCCCCTTAGCCCAGTTGTTCCCTGCACCACTTTGACCTGTGCGGGAAGAATTGAGACACCTGTTTGATGGGTAAACCAGCCTGCATTTTTCCTTGCCTAAAAACACCTGATTCTGCCTCAGAAGCCAAGAAGGCCTTGAAAAACAATCCTGGCCTGGAAGGAGCTTCTGTGCCCCTCGTTGCCTTTGGCCTAGCTGGTTCCCCCCGTCAGAATGACCAACCCCACCAGGGCCTTTCCATCCCTCCCAACCCACAGATGCAATTCCACCAATCCGAAGGAGAAGCAGTGCCATCTCCAGGTGTAGAACTGGGTGCTACATTGAGGAGGGAGGGAGGGAGGGAGGGAGACCTGGGCAAGAGGAGCACAAAGAGGGACAATACCAAAGATGAAGTTGTCTGGCCTGAAGAGGTGTCCAAAAGCACCTGAGCGAACACTGTCCATGGTGCCAGGTTCCAGGTCCACCAGGATGGCTCTGGGGACATATTTGTGAGCTGGAAAGACAAAGAAGGTTTTCCCCTTGAATGGACAAACCTGGATGGTTCATCGACCAAACGGGCCCTTGCATTTATTCAACACGGTTCTTCCCTCCACTCCTTGAGTGATCTATAAAATACAGAGCTTGGTCCCTCCACATGTGCTTCCTGCTGGAAGACAACCAGCATGAGTTCCTTTGCCAAGAGTTACACCAAAAAACCTGCACATGAGGGCTCAAAGCATCTCATGCTCCTTACCACCCCTTTATGCTTCCTTCTACTGGCAGTGCTATGCTCAAAAGGTGCATGGCCAAATGACCTCCCTCCTGGCTTTGGGAACCCAGGAGCCCCATCCTTGTTCTCAATGCCAGCACCAGGTGGGCTGCTGGGTAAAAATTAGTGTGAGGCCATCTTTGTGTAGACTTCATTTTCTCCCTGGTAGCACTGGAAGCATTGAAAGTGCCTGAGGGAAAGACCTGTAGGTCAAATGGGATGGTCGGCCTATGTAATTTCCAGGAAAGGGCCGGAGGGAAATTCTTGGTGTCAGAAGACACTGGTTAGGTAGGGATCAGAGCTTACAGGAGGCTTCATTGTAGTACACACTGATCCTTTCCAGCTGCAGATCAGAGTCCCCGACATAGTTTCCACTGGGATCTATCC